ACACGGCACGGTAGCTCTTATGGCAACAAGCTTTTGTGAGACTTGTCGGCTTTAAATGTGTGATGGCAGGAACCCCATCTTTGCCTCTGGAATTAGCGTGCTTTAGAGCCGGAACCCGAGGCACCGCTGCAGGCCTCTCGGCGTCCCAGCGACCCCGGGGCCGTGGCGGCACGCACCGCACCGGCTCGGCGGCCGCGCCCGCGCCCCTCTGGCTGGAAGAGATGGACAGACTTGTTGTTTTTCGCATTCATTTCATACTTGTGTGTATCAACAATTGTTCTGTTTCTGACCTAGGTTAGCCAGGAACAAGCTGGCAGGCGAGGAAGGTCAACACAAATGTAAGCGGAAGTAAGGCCTTCCCTGTCATCCATTTACACCTCAGGGAGAACCCCAAGGGCCTTTGCACTTTCTATCAAAACAAGGGGACGTCAGCGCCACCATTCGGCCTAAAACCCAAAGCGACGATGGTGGCTCTGCAACGAGTTGATGTTGGAGAGGTCAGCCAGAGCCGCCAGAGCACTGCAAGAAATCAAGCTTGACAGTCTCGTCCTCTTGGAATCATTGGTCGTTGCTGTTATGGCTGTTTCACTTACCTCGGCTTACATTTGTGTTGACCTTCCTCGCCTGCCAGCTTATTCCCGGCTAACCTAGGTCAGAAACAGAACAATTGTTTTGATAGAAAGTGCACAGGCCCTTGGGGTTCTCGCTGAGGTGTAAATGGATGACAGGGAAGGCCTTGAGTCTAGGCTAGGAGGGGTTTCTAGTACAACTAAGGAAACCAAGTATTTTGCAGAGATGTGTCACAAGTTTACCGGAGGGTGCTGAAACGCGGGGTGCGCCTCATGCTCCAGCAGAACGCTTCAGCCAAATTTGGAACTGAGAGGCTCATTCCTACTGATGTTTTTAGTTTTACCTGTCAGAGAAAGCGCAGGTTTTGGGGTTTCAGATTTGGGAGACTTGCTCGTGAGTCTACGCTCTGTCCATTTTTTCAACAGACATCATTCTCAGGAGCAAATTGTTTCCAAAGTGTGCAGCTGCAGGAGTGCTGTTGGTTGCTGTCATACAAAACCACCATCGACTTGAATTGCAGAGACGCACAGATCTTGGCTGACATCTGAGAAAAATCCAAAGCATGGAGCACGCTGGAGCCTGGAATTTGCCACGGAGGACCTATTCTTTGGTATCATTTTCTATTTACGAATGATTTTTCATCATTTTGCATCATTTGCATCACTTACTTGACTTCTGCCTTCTTTCTGCTGGCTTCTTGGTTTTTTGGCTTCTTGGCTTCTGGGCTTATTGGCTTGTTGGCTTTCTGGTTCCTTCGATTCCTGGCTCTGCGGTTTCTCGGTACCTTCCTTAAAGTAGTAGCAGTAGTAGTAGTAGTAGCAGCAGCAGCAGTAGTAGTTGATGAGGAAGGGAGGGTTATGCAGCTCCTTTGGTTTGCAATTGGCAGGTGCTGCGCGCGCCCCCTCCCTCCCCCCCAACTCCCCTGCCTTTGTAACGGTCATCCATGCCTGCCGCTGTCATCGTTTTAAATCATCTCATTACTTTCCATGATCCCGACTCCCCCCCTTTTATTGTGAGGCCATCCAAGCTTGCTGGAGTTATGTAGATCATTTTGTTTGCAAATAGGGGGGGGCTGTGCCACACCCCAACCCCCCCTTTTTTAAATGCCATCATCCATGCTTCATGTTCTCATCATCTTGATGGTTTTCATAATTTTGCACAATTTGCAACATGAGGCTTCACATTTTTCGTAGTTGTCAATCATGTTTATTTTCACTTTTTGTTTGCATGTCTTTAATCTTCATCATTGCTTCATAATTCTCACGGGTTGTCTGCAGTGTTTTCATCATTTTTCTATCATTATGTCTCATCATTTGACATGATTGTTCATCATTTCTCATCATTGTTCCCAATTTTCTTGATTTTCTTCATTTCTCATCACTTTTCGTAATTTTCATCACTTTCTTTCAACTGTATCATTTTCATCATTTTCACAACTTTTCATTATTTTCAATATGTTCATCCTTTTTTCTCTCATTTCCCTGTTATTTTCATTATTTTTGATTATTCGTCATATTTTCATCATTTTCCTATTATCTCCGTGATTTTCAGAATGTTCATTATTTCCCTCTGTAATTTTCATCATTTTTTTCACAATTTTCCATCCTGTTTTATCATTGTCATGATCTTTTTGCAATTTCTCTATCATGTTCATGTTTTCTTACATTTTCTTTTTTCTGTTAGTTTCCCACATAACTTTTAATGATTCGATCTTTTTCTGTCATTTTTCATCATCTTATATCATTTCTATGATTTTCATCATGTTTCATCATTTTTCATGATTTTCATGCTTTCCATCAGTCTTCAGAGTTTTTGCTTCAGAATTGTGCTCTCGTGTGAGGCGTCCTTCGATTCCAGGCCCTCAGCCGAAAAATAAGTCACACCCCCCCCCAACAAAAAGTCACAAAAACAATTCCAGCCATTTGCTACGTGGCTCAGGCTCTGTAGATGCAGGTGTCGTTGATCGAAGATGAGGCCTTATGCAGATGAGTTGTACAGGCGCTGATGATGCAATGTGTTTTTGCAGATGTTGGTAAAGAGTTGGGGTGAACCTGGCAATCTTCTGCTTCTAGCATGCAGCACCGAGAAGCGTGCATCAAAATTGCCCGAGTTGACCCTGACAAGAAGGCCCCTAAGCGATCCGGCCGACGCAGCCGGCATCTGGCTGCTGACAGTGAATGGAGGAGTCCATGCATTCTTGCTGAATGCCTGGGTGCACACTGGCACATCATGCTGGTGGGCTTTGCGTCTACGGTATTGGAGTTTGGAGTTCGTGGGAATGCTTCTAAGGGTGTCACGGCACGTTTTCATGTTGATGTCGTTCTTAAAGATAAGCCTAAGTCTCAACAGATGCCTGGAGGGTTGTGCATCTTGCCCGCAATGCAGATGAAGCGGGAGGGCTCTTGTCAAGCGGAGGCTGCTGTCTCACCTGCACCCAGGCTGTAGGATCTGAACGTATAGTCTGTAATTTTGAAGCAAACGTCTCCGCCACAAGTGGCTATGCTTAGGAATGTTTCCGTCGACTGGGCCAGATGAGCTGCATGTGGTCGCAGGCTGACACAACTGACAAAGCTACGACTACGCAACAGACCGGGTTGAAGTTTATGGCGGCGATCCATCCATCACCGCCAGCCTTCCATTTTCCATGTACTCAAGAGCACATTTGTGCTGTGGTGAATGCGTCCTACAAACAGTTTTTTGTCCGGAAAAAGGGTAGCTGTTAGAGGGAACCTCTTTTTTCCGAAGCGGGGTAGTACTTGATGAGCCTTGGAGGCCCTGGATTTCAGCCGGCACTACAACACACACTGTTTCGGAAAATGGGGTTGTCTTTTTCTGGAGGCACCTACATTGGCCTACATTATTTATGAGCCATAAACTCCAACTCCCGTCTCGTAGCTAAGCAACCGGTAAATGCTCTGTTTCCAGTTGCAGACGAGGACACTTAACTAGCCCCGGGTGTTTAGACAGGCACGACATGGATAGGTTGGAAAGTTGGAAATACGTGAATTAAGAATGTAAAGCATTGGAATCTCTCCACTTGGAAATAGAAAATGGGAAAATAATAGCAACACAGCCGGAAAACACGTTCAAAACGTGGGGAAGCATTAGGAACAACAGAAGGAGGTGAACAAAATAACATCACATGATAACTTAGGAACTTTGAGAAACAACTTGTTTTCCCATTTGTTTTTGGTAATACCCTGTGGTTGTTGTGTTCATGTGTGCTTACTGTTTCTTCCAATTTTTTTTGCTACGTTTGCCTATTTTGCACTAGACGTGGCAATTTTCCCGTTATGTCCCTTTTACTTTCCTGTTTTTCTCATTTATCTAATTTCCTTTTCTTTGAGAGGCATTACTATTTTGGATTCGCGCATTTCTCCTCACCTCCATTTCCCTACATTGAATATTCCAGGTTTTTGAACCTATCCATATTCACGCTCGTCACGACCCTAGCGCTTCTGAAGTGGCGTGTGGGAGAGAAAGGGTTGTTGTAGCAATTCTGAATCTATTCGATACAGTATCCCTGGTGCTGTGGGGATTGCCTGTTCCCACTTCGAGAACGGCGGACAGACCATGGCTGGCGAAACTGCCGGTCATGGAGACACGAACCCGCGAGAAAAGAGGACTTCTTGCTTCCTGGAAATTCCTGGGTTGGTATAGGCATGTTTGTGTTGTGGGTCTACAAGGCTACTGCTTCAGGAAAGGGCTACTGCTTCAGGTACGGACTGACGCTGGCACCTGCAGTAACACTCATCTGAAGTACCAAGCCTTGAGTTCAGAAACCTGGAAGCCCGGTGCGGGCAGGGATGGTTGCGAGAAAAGGACTACTGTCGTTGACCCATCTTACCCGTCTTTGCCAGGAAGTCAGCTCCTGAACCCGTGAGTTTCTTAAGCCTGAAATTCTAGGCTTCCCCCAATTCGCCAGGACAGCAACCCTTCATCCCAACTCTGCCAGGGCCGTTTGCCTATCCGGTTTGGCTTCTCGCTTGGCAACGGCATTGGTCAGGACAAGGCACGCTGACTTTTGGGGGTTCTGGCTGAGTATGCCTTCTATGTTATTATGATGCGATAGATTCTGCCTCGTGACCACAAGTGTGCCTGTTCGTATACGAGTGCTTTTGAAGCTGATGTTGATGTTTTCTGGACAGTCGGGCAGACGGGATGGCAATTACGACTGTGCAGATCCCTTTTCCGCTCAACTTCTGGTAGCACAATTATCCTCTTCTGCTGTTGCTGAAGTAGCAGGATTCCTCATGTGACGATGACATTAAGAGCAGTAGTCATGGTGGCACATTTCACACAGCAGCAGTAGCAAGAACAATGATGATAATGAAAGTCACAGCTGCAGCATTGCGGGCAGCAAGTTACTGATCCGCAGTCGGCTCAAGTTGCGAGTGACCGCCCAATTCCGCGCATACCGGGCGATAACCATGGCTGAAGAGGAGGAAGTCAACCCGAAGGCAAGAATGGCGAGACCCTTCAGATGTGCTGCTAATTTCTCAGAGCCTGAACTACAGTGTCTGCTGCATTCTGATGCGAATTTGCTGGCCCCTGGCCTCACTGTTTTGGCATATCCTCCAGTGCTCAGTTGTGCGTTTTTTCTCTCTGCAGGCCTACCCCCTGGCCAAGGATGCCGTTGACATTGTCCTTTTGTTCGGTGATCAGGTGTTGGTGAGGTATCAATACCAGTTTTTTTTTCTGCTCTGCAGCATTCAGAAGGGAAATTGAAGGGCAGCAGAGTCGATTCAGGTGACGAGCGGCATTCTGCACATGATGGGTCTCAAAGGGTATCCGAAGAAAAGTCAAGGTTTTCTGGACGGCCATGTAGCTTGAGCTTCAGGAACTTCAAGGTGAACTAGACGGCTTCAGTCCAAAAGTATCTGGCTTGCGCGTGTGGGGATCACAACTCAGTTGTGCATAGGCCTTGTCTGTGTTTGGAGTCCAGCAGCAGGTGTGCTGCCATGAAGTGAGGGTGTTTTCGGAGTTAGATCAGCAATAATGTTGGACTCTGTTTAATGATAGGGGTTCCCCCCCCCCCCGGTGAACAATTACCATTCCTCTTTAA